GGTAGGAGCTCCCCGGATTGGCCGTTGGCGACAAAGAAACCGATGCGGACCACACGAGCACGCTCCATATCCTTCCAGATGTTTCAGAGGAACCACCGCATTCTAACACAGATGATCGTCAATTGGATCTGTCAGGTGGTCGCTCAAGAGAAATGTTCCTGTACAGGTTTCCCTTTTCATATCCCATCACACCACGAGAAAGGAGTGGCTCACTGTGAGTCCGGCCTGTTCTTTCACCTCTCAGGATTAACTCGAAGAAGAATAGTGAGTTCGGCAGTGGCCGCGCAAAGTGGGCAAGGTTGTTGCCATGCACTTCGACTCAAAAGCACTTAGGTTGCGGCACTTCGTCGCCAGAAATCCATCTGGTGGACTACCCCCGCGTCAAGGCACTGTACCCAGGTTTGGTGGTCCACCAAGACTGAGTACAGTGCCTAGGGGCGCGTGAAATTGCGCACGTTTAATTTGAATTTACTATTAGATAGCCAGGATTCTGGCGTTTGCGAAGCGTCGTTAATGATTGAGTCCTGCACATGCATGCATCACTGATGCTTTCGTTGCCTAAAACCGCTGTTTCGTGTTCACAACACAGCGCGAATTGCATCTATACTGCAGTTTGCTGCTGGGATAATTTGGAGTGAAACGAGCAATCATCAAATCAGAGCTCACAACTGACAACAGCACATCCTAATTTGCGCACATTACGATGGTTGAAACATTTTCTGAAGAAGGCTGCGATTTGACCTTGCAATCCTGATATTTCCTTATCCTCCAGCAGCGCTCATCGACGGAGTACTGAATGGCGTTTTCTGTGCCTCCAAAGTAACCTTGCCACCATCCACTTGGTGATTTGCCACGTTTGCTCCACAAAGAGCAGTTTCAACACTCACAAACACGCGTGTTTTGGCGATCGTGTAGGAGAATCTTGAAAGCCCCTGGGGGCCACTGTGTAGGAGATGAAACACTGCAACTTTGGGGGCTCCCTTCTGCTGTTGATTTTAAAGAAGGCTGAAGAGATAGCATATTCAGGTGGGAAATTTGCGATATCGCAACACAGCTGCGTTTAGCTGGACTTCTTCAGGAGTAATGATGCTTTCCTCCTTTGCCAAAGCATCATGCCAGTAGCTGCTTTCCTTGAGACAGTCCTTCACATCTGTTCTTGCTGGAATGCTGTCCGCTAGATTCTCAATGCACATGTGGGAATTGCTCACTGGGTGTAGCTGTGCTGGTCTCGTTGCAGTTTCTGATAATTCTCAGCATGATCGTTCGCCTTTCCAACGCATTTTGAGGCTCATGCGTGGGACACCCGTTGGGGCCACTCATAGCTTCAAAGCTATATTCGACTGCATTGTCTAGGATAGTTTTCTGTGGTATAGTACATGAATTCGCATGCGCGAAAATGTGTTATACAGTAACTCTAACGTAAATCCCTTCGTATTGTTGTGGATGATGTCAAGCATATGGCACAAACGTTGGATTTCACCGGTGGCGTGTCCATATTGCTTTTGGCGAAGGTTGTGCGCACATTCACGTGGTGATCTGCGCTCCTCAAATATCCAACGAGAGTTCCCGACTCCACAATGGATGCTCGTTGCCAGCGAAGGTGCGCACAAGCGTATAACATAAAATGCATGTTATTGCAGTATAATATGCTCCTGGTATTTGTTGAGGCATATGTGGGAAGAACATGGAGAATATTGGGCGACCAACTGGGCAATGCCCATCAAATTCTTTTAGAAAGGGAAGCCTTTTGCAACGGGTTCTCTGAGCTCATGCGATTAAAGTCACGCTTTTATGCCATTTCTGTCGATTGAATGCTATGTGGTGGTTCAAATCTTGGATGCACTTCTGACCACCGCTCAGCGGCCTAGACGGCATCCAGCCTTCTAAATTTGGGTTCAGTGGAAAGCGGTCTTGTTGCGTATCCGTTTCATATTGCGACAATTCAGTGCATGGGAGCCAACGTTGTGTTGAAATTTCTGTCGCAGCATCACCACGCAGGGCTATGTTTATAGGCACATACCGATGGAGACACTGACGCAGTGTGAATAATAGAGGGTAGACTTTGGATCTCCGCATACTACGCCTGCATATCTGACCAATGCTCTAAGAAACAAGAATTGATGAAGTTCGGAATGCTCTTGAAGCGCTGAACCTACGGGTTCTGGTCATGATGCCGATCGTGAAGGGAGCAGTTTATGGCGCCGACGAAATGCGTCGTGCCAGTGCGCATGCCTGTGCTACGCCGACGATCGTTGGAGGAAATCGCCATGGAGATTGCGCTATCAGAACATGCTTTGCAAGTCAGCTTGTCGAGCAATTCCCCCATGTCTTTTGCTCTTTGGATCCCAAGGCAAAACACCAACAAGTTGCACCGGCACAGTGGGCGCGTCAATTGTGTAGTCCATATGCACACATGGGCTGCCGCCCAACGGTTGCAGCATCACTACGTAGGCATTCACACCTCGGCGTTAACGTACTTGCCAAAGAAAACAAGCCCTTAGCTTGAATATATAAGCACGTTGGAGTTACCAGTCATGCTCCACACCCCACTTCCATAATCAGACCCCCCGGCGCATATATGTGCTGGTTACGAAGTCCGCGGAGTAGGCCAGTTTACGGGAGGCCCGAGGCGGGTGGGAGAATAATTGATGGGGCCTCCAGGCCCCCTACTGGCAGGGGCGACGGGACGCCCAGGGACACATTCAACTCGCATGTACATGCCGCTCTGGGGGCGGGCGCGCTCCCCATGGATGTTGGCTGCGCCATGGGGCAGTTTGGGGACGGTGCGCACCCGCCAGCGCCACTTCGTTTTCGCCATCCCTTCCACTCCTAGGGATTTCATCTGGATGGGGATTGGATCGTTGGGAGTACGCTTCGTCACTGCGTGACAGGGACCGGACAGGCATACACTTGCTTAATGTATGAGATAGTTCGGGAACATCTGCTTGTACTAGTTTTAATGTACTATTGTCATGGGAGTGAATGTGTCCATGCGGGAAGCCGCAGGAAGCTGGACGTAATGATACTCTTCTAGCTATAAATGCCTTCACGAGGTTTGAACGAAAGGTCTACACAGCAAAGATATTCGCTGGAAAGGGCAGCTTCAACGTATTCAATTTACATGTGGCCATGTCATATTATCGCTACAGAGCACGCGATCTATTCCATCTTCACCAAACTCAAATTGAGACCACCTGATTCCGGCAACCTGGCATGATTCCTACGCGATGAGAGAACTGGGTGGGGAATGGAATGTTACGTTCGAGCAGCTATGGGACTACATGGGCGAGTGCATGTGGATGGTGTGTTCAGGGCTAGGCAGCTGCAGCTCGACAGAGTTTCTTACGAGGCAAAAACATTTGCGCATTTCTGCTTACGATGCACCGCCGCCTGACTGGTGTGGGCACGGCTAACATGCCAGACAAGCCAGGAAGAGATGGGCAGGTTTGATATACAGGTGGGCCACAAAACGAGGCAGCAGACAGTCTGAGGCAACCTAATACAAGGGTGGGCGTACGCTGCTTGAGTGGAAACACAAATGCACGTGCTGCGTTTTAAGCTTCCAGAATGGCAATGTAAACGCCTGCAGCACATTGAGTTTTTGAATGGCGTCATAAACGCCTACCTCGCATTTGTCTTTTAGATGACAACACAGACGTGCCCAATGCGTCTAAGTGTCATAACGGAGACATTGGCCAAGCGTTTCAGTCATGGAAATGTCGATGTAGACATCGGACACACTTTGTTTTTCTAGAATTTCAACACCGGAGACTGATGGCTGGACATCCTCGATGCTATGCACAACCGCGGCCTGTCGCTGCCAAGGAACCTGCAAACGGAGCTATTGGGTTATGTTTACAAGCTCCTTGGCAGCAACAGGCACCCACACTCATCTTGTTGTACTTCCCAGTCGCGTCGAACTGCTGCAAGCCACACCACAGCTTGCGGTGTTGGTGGTGTCTTGACTATTCATCAATGGATACCGCATCAACTTGTAGTTTCACCACCCACAATCAAGAATTCCGCGGCACTGTGAGCAACATGACTCAGATGATGTTGAAGTGAGGTGATGTCAGATTCTGAATAGTTCATCGAATGATCTCTGGCACAAATGCTGTGCTCGGCAAAATAAATGGGCACCCTGAGCATGCACAGCACACTCGATCAGTCAACACACATGGACAACACTCAAGCCAGGATGGAATGTGCACAGTCACTCATAGGACACACCGATTGCATCAAGCACCGCAATGGGGACTAGATGGGGCCATTGCAATGGGTAGCAAAAGGCAAAACTATCAACAGGGTACCTCTCTGTGTGCATAAAAAGCTCCAACATCATGATGTAGTTACATTTCTGCTTATAAGCGGAGTAGAATGAGAAGGTGCTTCTTTTCAAATGCAACCGAAGAGAGATGTTGACAAACTACACCCACTCGGCAAATTGGGTGCATGGCATGGTGCTGAGCATTACTTTGCATCTACTATGCCACCAAGAGTTCAGTTCAACCAAGCCTATGCCAGGGTTGTGCGGCCGAGTTGATCAACGCCAGATGCACCTAACTGTTCTGACTGGCAAGGCAATAGGCCACTCAGGGATGACACTGAGAAACGCCCTGCCATGGTACTGTCATGGCAACAGGGCCCTGTCCTGCCCCTCAGCATTCATTCCAAAGCCATAAGGAGTAGGTTACGATGACCAAGGTGCAAGCTCCTTGTCCAGAACATGCAGAGAAGGTAAGCAAGCACAACAGCTACATATTTGCCTGTTGGGTCCCTCATCAGCGTTGGCCAGGTCGATTGGTAATGACCAGCTGCTTCGATGCTGCATGAGTATATGCACGTGCATGCATGGGTGGCCTCTTGACTCCCCAGCTGCTTGCCTTGGGTTGCCATAGCAATTTTGATCCCTCCAATGCTGCATGGCATCCTGTCACAATCACTTGGGTGAGCCCCCATGCCCCAAAGCTCAGACTCCTTAGGGCACTGCACTCATGGTCGACTTGTCCCTGATGGTCATTGGCAGATGGATCGATTCTCCAATGAGCCGGGGGACATGCTGTTCCACAAGATGAGAGTGACCCGAGGAGCATAAGGCTGCTGCATCCCTGAATGCCTGCCTCAAATACCTGCACAAAATGAAGAATCAGTTACACAAGGGCTTCAGTGGCAAGAAGCCTGCGACCTGGGGAAGGAAACGAATGGCCTTTTTCCCAAGGTATCACAATGCTCTCGGCTACAGCAGGGCTGTGTCATCGGAGTAGCCATCGGAGACAACAAGTCTGATAGCAAAGATGCCCTTTGACGAAAACCCATGCTACCATGGATCCAATTACTGGCCAGTCCACAAATGTACAGAGCTCATTTTCATGGATGTCCACACAGGGATGCCATTCATGTTCACACAGGCCAACACATAAGAAATGGTGAGCATTATGGGCTGCTCCAACCTGCCGCCTGCCCCCAAGAAAATTTCTCACTGACCTCCATCGTCAACATCACAAGACCCCATCACCTGTCTCGCACTCCCAAATGGAATTCTAGTCCATCACAAGCAATTCGAAATCCCCAGTTAGGCATGTTGCTGGTCAGCGGCGAAAGTCGCGACAGGAACGAAGTCAAATCCACAATGAGGGAAAAGTCCACGCGCAGAGGCAATACCATTCCCAGTGCATCAGACACTACACTTCCCACCTCATTAGGCTCTCTTTCTGGCCCTGCCTAAGGCCGCTGGCACAGCCCCAAGCTGCTGACCAACAGAAACTCCTCAAGGGGTCATGAAGCCCAGGCCAATGCACTAATTCTCTTGACCCCAAGCAGACGCTGCAAGTTTGTGCACAACGGAAAACTTTTGACGTCCTTGGACAACTTTGGTAAAAGGAAATCTCCAGAAAGCTTCAATGAAGGAAATCTTCAGAAAACTCGGCCGGTGATCCCTTTAGAGCACACGTCAATCATGGAACACCCCGAATGACCTGTCCCTATCTTCTGCCACAAATAGAGATGGGATGCGCACCGCCACACTCATGGATACCCTGGCACGCAGTTTTGCTTTTTCTATTGATCGTCGAGCGACATTCGGCTGGCCACCCCGCCAGACCACAATCCAATCGCTGAGCACCGCCAATGCGACGGCCCTCCCTTGACAAACAGACAAACAGAGACAAACAGAGATGGGTAAGCGCCATGCCACGCGTTCGTAGCTTCCTGGCAAGCAAAATCGGAGTGACACTCCGCTGGCGATCCAGCCCAAGCACACGCCAATCGCTGCGCCCGCATCTGAGGCGCCCCTCCCTTTCGCCACGCGCAGAAAGGGGGTGTGTGCGAGCACAGTTGGATGCAAAAACTGGCCACACGGAACAATTCAAGGTGGTCACGGCCACCTGGGGCCTCGCCGCCTGCCCACACAAACAATCGCCGAACGACGCTCGGCTTGTGATCCAGCCAAAGCGCACGCCGATCAGGGAGCGTCGCACGCGAGGCGGCCCTCCCCTTGACCGACAACAGAGGCAGGATTGCGAACGCCACCCGATGCAAAAACGCTCGCGCGCAATTTCAAGGGCGAGAACGTCGGGTGGGCGCGACCGTGTGCCTGGTCAAATCATGCCGCATCGCACCCCGCCTCAGACGAGGACCTTGTACGCAAAACCGGCCTGGCCAAAATTTTCCGATCCCAGAACTCACATGCGCGGTCCCCCCAGTCGACCCCATCCGGCCAGCCTCCGAAAATTCTGTCCCACCCCCTGGCTCCGCCGCCTCGATCGCTGCCCGGTGGACCCAAGGATCCGTAGGATTGATGGAAAGCGTGTCCAGAAAGAACGCCGGACGTGAAAGCAGAGCAGGGGGTGTGTATAGAAGGGGCCGGGAGGGGGGCTGTTCTCCGGATGGGGTCCCCCCGAGGGTCGGCCGCCGGTGGCGATAAGGGACTGAGGGACGGATGCCTGTGAAGAGGAAAGAGCCTTCCAGATACGGAAAATATATGGTAGTGACGGTGACGGTGATGGAAAGGAGACGGAGACCCAGTACCTACACACCCTGAACCCTGACGCCTCACCAACTAATCCTAATCCGTTGCGGGCCCCGTCACTGCCATCGCACAAGGGAAACCCCAAAAATCCAGGAACCCAAAACGCTGAAAACCTGTCTCCGTCACCTTCTCCTGCCCCGTCAACGCCACCCCCCCGTCGCTGTGACCGTGATCGTTCTCGTGGTCCGAATCCGGAAAAGTAGAGAAGGAGCCGCGACCGGGGAGCCTTTGCTGGCAAGCTGTGGCGGATGCGGACCGCGGGCAAGGTCACGTTAAGACGGACACCCTGTACATACGCAACCCAAACCCCAACGCTCCGCCACCCAATCCTGACCTGTCTCCGGCCCCATCACCATCGCCGTTGCTGTCGCCGTGACCGTGACCGTGCTCGTGGTCCGTATCCGGAACAGTCTCTTCCAGAGGCCGCGATCGGGGAGCCTTTTCTGGCAAGCCGTGGCGGACCGTGAGCAAGATGCGGACCGTGAGCAAGGTCGCGGTGACGGAGACGAGTCAGGATTGGGAGGTGGGGGGTTAGGGTTTGGGGTGCGCATGCACTGGGTCTCCATCTCCGCACCATCTCCGTTACCATCACCGTGCCCATTGTCCGTATCCGTGTTGTAGTCAGATTCGTGTGTGGCGCAGTCGTGGGTTTGCTGGGAGGGTCGTTCATCTAGAGAATGAGCAAATTGGCAGCACAGTAGCTTAATCCGCTGCCTTTGCTCGTGTGGGGCGCTCTTGAACAGATGCTGGGCACATGCAGTAGTATATGCAGTACTACAGCGCCCTCGATGGCGTACAGCTCCCAATAAGACTCTTTTTTGGCTTGCTCCTTTCGTAGTGCACTATGCTCCTCTGCCATTACTGTTTTCTTAGTGCTAGTATCTAGTCCCCGCTCTCCTGTCCTCCTTTTCCTGTGGCTCCTAATTTACGCCAGTGTCCGTGGACAGGCTTTAGTGTCCATCGCTTCGTCGTGCAGCATCTGTGGTCCTACATGTGGACGCAAACACCGTATGAAAGTGTGCAAAAATGCACCAACACACGCGTGCACCAGAAAATGGACTACAGCACTATGTTGGTTGTTGGTTTGTGAGCTATGGAAAACACCACTGTGGATTATATGGATGATATGCTATGAAGTTGGCATCATACATATAGATGTAGAATGCCAGATATATATTACTGTTGTACTACAACAAGGCGCAAAACAGCGGGCAGAATACTTTGCTTCTCCCATATACACGCGCTATGTGAAGAAATCCAACAGACGCTGATGTTGATCAGCATTTGTCTTAGTGTTAGTCTGATTCGAGTGTGCGTTGTTCAGAGATTGTGGCAATCGGCGCCAAAACAAATTGACCATTTTGACAGAATTTCGTTCCGCTCATGGATCATCGTAAGCACGCACGAAGGGATTGAGCGAAAGTATGTGAATTTCATATGCGTCATTTCATAATATGAAATGAAATTAAGTGACAAGAATTACCAAATATTTTGAAATTTGCCCTTTCACTGCACAATTTCTCCGCTGGAGCTCCAATTTAGCACTGGCTGGTGTCGCGCAATGCTGTTGCTCGTGATTTGGGACACTTTGGTGTCATTTGAACCAGCGAGCGCCTTTTTGATGGTGCAATCAGCAATTTCTGTCTGACATTTTGTGCGACTGGTATCATATTGTGCCAATCATGACTGGCTGGCTGATCAGCCTGGCTCAAGCCAATGAGTTTATTGCCTGTTGCCACCATTGCCTTGTCTTACACTGGCGATTTACATGGTATAGGACAGGAATATTTTGTTTCTTAGCAATGCTGATATCTAGATATCAGCAGATACGTAGCAGATCTGCTACGTATTGCAGATATCCGGCGTTGGGGGTGATCTTAGCCTGAACAAATGTCGAGCGTGCTCTTGCAGAGTTCTGCAAGATCATTCGAATGTTTTTGCAGGTGATTCAACGCCAATCACAGGGCAATGTTCATCAGAGCATTATCATTGGTGTATGTATAGATTTCAGTGTGTTTCGTTTCGCGAAGATTCCTATTGACTGTACCTAGCAACGGAGGGATGCTTAAAGTAACTGCATCTCAGTGTTTTGATACCTTAGTCAAGATGCACTTGTCATTGTGTGGCAATGCCAAGTTTAGTGAATGCAGTCTGGAACATCGCCAGAGATTCTTCCCTGTGAGTATGGAAATACACCATTCCTAAGACAGCAAATTTGTTGGCTCATCACTTTGTGCTGTATGCTGTGTTTGATTTCGCCTTTTAATCAGTCCATGAAAGCAGAAATAACTGAACAAACAAGGCGTCAAACTGCAACACCATGCATGTCATCCTGTAATGGGCATACTCTAAACAACAGATTTGTAAATGAAACCAGTGCATCTTGCATGCAAATGGCAGAATATAGCGCAACATCTAACCCTCCTGTAAACGAAACTGATTTATAGATTATGGTCGACATCCCTTTACAGATCTGTTAACGGTGCTATCGAAGGTCCCCGCATGACAAGAATGTGCCATTGGGACGATTGCTGTCTACAAACAATATTGTTGGTGAACGTGGGCCTCTGATCCTGGTAGGCATTTTCATCTGGACCTCACTTGTGCTGATTTTTTCCAATTGGTACATTCTGCGAACCTGCAGCCTGGCACAATGTGGCTGCTGTATGCAAAATATCCACCACTGGATTGTGACCAGTTTTGATGCTCTACGTTTTCTGCATGACACGACAATTAGCATGTTACAGATCTCTCAGTGCATACCTAACATAGGCAACATAATTTCATAGTATCGGGTGGAGCAAATCACTGCGAAGTGCAGCAGTAGAGCTATTTGTACCTCATGCTGGGATCCTCATGATCTCGGCAGGACAGAAATGCCCCCTAAGCTGCTCATT